TATCTCCTACTACTTCTCAACATAGAATTCAAAATGCCGTGCTATTTTTCTACAACCGAGGCTGATTCTTTGAGATTACAGATCGGTATTTCATTGACCTTAGGGCAAAATTTCAGTTTACATCTTATTGATGCCCACTACACTGAAACAGTCACCACCTTATTTTTTCTATAGCTAAAGCGGTTTCCTTCCACAAACTCACATAGGCCTCAGAGATAAAGTTGCTTAGAAGCTCAAGGTCTTTTCCTCGCTCAGCTAACAAAGGATTTGAATCGGCTGAAAGACGACCGATTTGTTACTGAGCGTTTTTATATGCTAGGACGAATGACTCGCTTTCTTGCTCCAAATATTTGCCTATATCCATAAACCAATATTCGTAGTGTTATAATATTAAATATATATATCTGAGAGAAGTAAGTGGCGTGCAAAAATACGACCACTGACGACAGTCGAACCCACCTTTCATCCACATCGGGGACGCGAGCTACCATAAACTGCAGGGGTACATTCGCCCCACCACTTATTCTTCAAAATCTCTATGATAGCTGTCAGCCACCAACCTTTAACAGGTTTGATCTGGTATGCGATTTCGCTTTATAAATCCAGTTGAGCTGACGGCCATTGTATTTTTGCTCACCACTCAATTCTCCTAGGCCTATAATCAGGATCAGAATAAGAGAAATAGGTAATTTTGTGGCATTCGGGATTATTTTCTCCACCGTTTGATTATAGGAAATTTATAGCTTTTTCTTCGAACACTAAGTAATCATTTGATAGTTTAAACCTCCGCAATTTAAGTATAATACTTTCTTAGAAAGAGCCTTCTTAGAGCGCAGTAGCAGCAAAAACAAGATCACGTTTACTCTTTGCGCGCAGTTGTGCATTTTCTTTACTTATTTGTGATTTTTTTTCTTCGTTTCGCAAGGTTGAGCTTGACTGTGCAAAACGTAATCTTTCCATCGCTCTTCCAACGCACTATGAAAAACTCTTCAAGAATTCAACTCATTTTCAGAGTCAATTAAATCCGCGCTATCAAAATTACTAACAATCTCTAAATAACCATTCATTAAACCGCCGTCTCGCTGCCGCTTTTTGCAAATGTTGCAGAATCTCATTGACTCAGGCGTCCATGAAAATTACGGGCCGAGTGTGAAACTTGATTTTACTTTAGCTCCTACTGCGCGCTAAGAACAGCTTCTTAGAAAATAAGCATAGCAGTGGATTCATCGAGATTGAACTGTCGAATGGTTACTAAAAGTCTATGGAAAAAGCAAAGAAGACCTCGTCTTCAAAAGCTGAAAATGCATACCGATCATCGAAAAGTATCAAACAATAGTAATTGAAATCAGAAACAAAAACGACGCAAATCTAACATTTTCAAGAAAACCTCCCATATTTCGATCTGCTTAATCGTCAACGATATCCTCATTTTTCACTTCAGGATCAAAGAGCATTGCTAAAGTGCTTAAAAGCGTATCACACATAACATTGATTGAAGTCCTAAGCTAAGTAATTAATTCCTTACTGACCCAAAAGTATGGCTGCATCGTATATTTCAAATAGAGCCTATTTTTGCATCTCCGCGTCCAACGCCATACAGCCGAACGGTAGCGATAACAGATTCTGAACAAAACCAGCACATACTTACTTATCCAGAAGACTGCTATTTCAGACGATTTGTACCTTTATTCAAAGCTTACGCTCGAGTGGTATACTTTGATGGTTAACGTGTCGGCGACTTCGCAATCCTTGGTGCATGAACGAATCTGGTTAATCTGTATTCATATAAGTTTGCATTTTTCTTATAGCATTAGTGAAAGTTATATATATATATATATATAGAATGGAAGTTATAGTTTTTATAGCAGCGCATGTGGCGCAGTGGTTAGAGGTGCTTTGAATCGCACACGAGGTCAATAGTTCGATCTCACGTTTATGGCTCATCAAGCCTTGAAATGTTACCAAACAGGTCTCAAACTTGTCTGGTAGGATAAGCAGCACTGACTCGGTTCATCGGGAGGCCACCGTTATTTTGTAGGCCAGATATGCATACAATCACCTTAAACGAAGTTCAAAATTGAAGACGAATGCATGGAGCATCCCTCAGGGATTGGTCAACGCCGAGAGTTTTTTCCTTTTATCCTTGTATAGTTTTTATAAGCGTCACTTTATTCAAATGAAGTGTATTCATTACATGTTCTGGGAAAAACAGTACAATTTTGCTCTCGCAGTCCATTTTCAGCCCTTTGTGGCCAAGGCCTTTCTCACCTTTTCCTCATAGTTAAAATAATTATGCCATAGCTCAAATATCATCAGTACCATTACTGCGCTTGTCTCCTAAAACGGCCTCTTTAGAGCGAAACAATATCGCAAATAAAATTGTACATTCGGAGCCCATTATCACGTTTGTTTTCGTTATCTACTTCTTCTCTACCTTTGTCAAAAAAACCTGGGTTTTGTATGTTGAAATAATGCAAGGAACTTTGTGCTATCGTTTTATAGGTATGAGCTTTTCATTTTCACTCGTATCACTAAAAAATCAGCTATTAAGCCTAATTCTAAGCCTATGAGTGTTGAACGTGATCTGCTTTTCGCTCCTCCTGAGTTTAACGAAGACTTACTCAAAAAATAAATTTAGCTTCAAAGTCATCAAAACTATATTATAAAATAACTATTGAAAGCTTACTAAAAGACAATTCGTAAACTCTGGCCACCTCGTGCCATTTGCCTGATACGTTGCAAAAATTTCATCCATACAACCATTTACATACCCTAGCCTAGCCAGCCGTTTTACATTCTGAGGCTTAAGGTTTTCAGCATAAGCATAGTTGGCAATTTATTTGGCGATATATGCAAAAAATGGAAATCTTACATTTCAAAACCATAGAGCAACGTTTCTTCTGCAATTTGATAGAGAATGACTAAAAATTTCTATAAGCAGAGAAAAAAATTAAAAAAATGATGGGAATACGCGCGATAATGCGCCGTGGGAAACTCAGTCTTAGTTTCGCATGATAAAAAGACCTTTCAGAAAAAGCACAGTACTAGATCTACCAAGATTAAAACTATCGAGTGATTACTAGATGTGTGAATAGAAAAACGGAAAAGGTGCTGTCCCTAAAAGACTGAAAAAATGGGCTGCGATAGCGGAAATATGGCATATTTATGATGGTCAGTAACATATACACCTCCCTGATTGAAGCGGCACTCATAAATACCACAGCATTTCATCAGTACAATATGAGTAGTTTAAACAGGAATAAAAGTACATTGAATACGTTTAGGTTCTAAGGAAGGCGAAGTAGCTGAAACGTTGGCCATTGTTCTTGAACAAGAAACACCAAATGAGATTATGCCTGAAATAAAGGATTAGCTTGTAAGCTAAATTTTATTGATCAGTTGACATGCCTATGATTAGTAAAGGATATAAGTTCTAGCAATAACTAGAATTGAGACAAAAAAGACGTTGCTGATCGACCCGAATTCGATTTTGAAGAAAACCAAAGAAAAGCACGTATCGACTTGATCCCATGAATCTCTTAGAAAGAAACTTAATAGACAAGAAGAACTGGTGTGGTGAAATTTCCCGAATGTATGAAACATAAGCGTAGACCTGTATCCATGTGCCAACATAAGAAATAATTTAGCAGTTTCTTTGTGAATAATAAACCTCTAAAGACAATAGCAAAATCCCACATGTTAACTGATGAAAAAGCAAGCAAAGATCTAGAATCGCACTGAAATAAACAACAAAAGTATGAAAGTATCATTCTATTCAATGATAAAAAAACCCTAAAAGTTGTGAGAAGGATTTGATGACCCTATAGAAAACCTTGCCAAGCCTTAATAACTTCGCAAAAACCTATGGATTCCTAATTCTAACAATAAAACTGTCAACAACATACTTAACGTTTTTGGGGTTTTAAGCTGCGCCTTGAGCAATTACGAATAACTAGAGTAAACTGGAAATTCAACTATAAGAATCAACGACAAAACAAAAACAATTCTTGTGACAGTATAGAAGTCAAGAAAAAATATATATATGTACATATACGTGTACATATACGTACGTATACGTATGAATACGTATATATATATATATATATATATATTATATATATGTATATGTACATGTATGTGCGCATGTATGTATATACATAAGTACATATAAACTTATGTGTCTTGTATAATAAATGCATTGGGAAGGTTGAGGGCAGAAGGTAGAAAAAAGAAATAGTAGCTAGAACCATTTTTTTTTCAATCTGAGCCTCAAAACTTAGAATTATAATCAAAGTAAGAAACATAGCCGATTCGAAGAACATAAAAATCATTGAGATATACTACAGATGAGAAGAAATAAAGCAAAATTAACACATCTCCTAAAAAGCTTAAACTATTATCTAACTCTCTTATGACTACTAAACCGTATATAATAACATTACATAAATTAGTAATACAAACACATACGAACCTACAGAAACAAAGAAGCCGCTCAAAAGTATCATTGATTATTATTATCTTGATAACTAGAAAAAACAAATAAGAAATGGGAATATAAATCAGCCTACATAAAAAACATCACAATAGCTAATCACACTAAAATGAGCGCATGTGCCGCAGCGATTTGAGGTGCTTTGCGCCACACACGAGGTCAATGGTTCGATCTCGCGCTCATGGCTCACCAAGCTATTCATCCCTCCAGGTCGGTAGACTGGTATCAGACTGGTCTCAGGTTTGTCTGGGAGGATAAGCAGCACTGACTCAGTTCAGCGGGAGGCCACCGCGAGTCATTTTAAAGGCCACATATGCATTTAATCACCTCTAACGCAGCTGAAGATTGACGACGAATGCACGGCGCATTCCTCAAGGATTGACCAATGCCGAAAGCTTTATTCTTTTTAGCTTCAATCACATCGAAATTCTAGTTTTTTTAGTGTATTTTCCGCAGTGTTATAATGCTACATAGATGCCTAAGAGAATTGAGTGGTGAGCGAAAACAAGGCCTCAGCGAGAATCGAACCCGCGTTTCGTCCATACCGAGGTCACGTGCTACTACCACTACACCACCGAGGCACATTTCCCCAATCACTCATTCACTCGACCACCAAAACCTGTTAGAGGTTGGCGAGTGAAATGTCTTTAGCGCAAGGAAGCCCTTCGAAAGTTATTTACTAACACGAGGTTAGTTGTTTGTGAAGCTGTGCTTGCTTTTTAGAAAGGTCTCCATGGAGCGCTGGGAGAAAAGAAAGGAGATGACGCTTCACAGTCCGTTTACCTTGCTAAATCTTAAGCTTACTAGCAGGTAACAGATAAAATTTGAAGGATGAAGCTCTCCACGTTAATCAAATCCTGTGGGATACACCATTCATTCGTTTTCATTTTTTTTTAAACGTTCTTTCGATGTGATTGAATGCAAATCCAGCCTTCCAGAATGTCTCGTTGGTGGCCTACCAATGCATTCGGTCAGTGCTGCTTATCCTCCCAGACATGTCCGGTACCAACTTACCGACCTCGGAGACGAACCATCGACCTTGTGTGCAACACAGAGCCCCTCTAACCACTGCTCGACATTCACTCTTAGGTACTGAGTACCAGCTGATAATATGTTTGGAGAGGGAAGCGCCCATAAAACGATAAAACTAAATCTCTACTATAATTCTAGTGTAAAAAGCTTGAAAAGTCTCTGCGAAACAGAGAAAAATCTCCAAATAGTTAACGGAAATACGAACAATAATGCGCCCCGATTATGACTCAATTTTGTTTTAGTTACTACAACACGCGTGGAGCCGAGCTTTATCCCACCCCTCCCCCACCTCTCGGTGGCAGTCAACCGCAACGTTCCATGGAACGCTACAGCAAGGCTATCCATGAGATTGCAAAGCGACTCCCTCAACTAGTACTCTACGTCGTTCAAGAAGAAGACGAAAAGCGTATGAAAGGCTAGAAGCAGTGTGATCCGCACAGTGAAAAAACTGTGAAGTTAGATCAAATAAAATAAAGTGTTAAAGTGTTATAATGCAATAAAAAGTTTACAGATATGAAGGAGGATATGGAATCGGCAAAATTTAAGCTAACGAATGACTTCTTAAGTATGAGGAGAAGGCGCGAAACGCTTTGATCTTAAGGGCTTGTGTAACGTGTTCTGAGGACAGAATAGTATCTGCTCAGGTTAGCTATTTTATTTACACGACCCGTTATGACAGTTCACTTTAATGTGCGGATCAGAGTATTTCTAGCAATAGATTCGCTTTTCGTTTTCTTCTTGAAGGGTGCAAAATACTGGTTGAGCGAGTCTCCTTGCAATTTCGAGAATAGACTGGCTTAAAAATTTCACAATACATTCGTCTTTGACTGCCGAAGAGAGATGGAGGAGTGAAGTTCGGCTCCCCGCGCGCCGTGACGAACATCACAAGCTCGACCACTGCTCTCCTTAGGTTACATAACAAACCAAGTAAGAATGCGATCGCACTTTTGAGAGAATGAGTAGAAATTCTTGTATTATTACACTTATAGGGCATAAGGATTAAGCTCTCGGCGTTGTTCAGTCCTTGTGGATGTGCCATTGATTCGATTTTGTCAGGGTCTGCTAAACCTGATGGAATAAATATCTGGCCTTAGCAATGACTCGCGGTGGCCTACAGATGTGTCAAACCAGTGCTGCTATACACCCAGACATGTCTAATACCAATTCAGCGATGCCAAAGAATGAAAAGTATGGTGAGCCTCAAGCGCGGGATCGAATCATAGGCCACATGTGTGAAGCAGAGGATCTCTAGTCATTGCGCCGCACGAGCCACGAAAACATTTAGCCACAGAACAAATTCAGCTAAATGGTCAAAGTGAATAAAATCATATCCAGACAGGGTTTAATACTAAACGGTATGTTGCCATGCGAAGTGTACTGACTAAGAGTTAACAACTCAGAGTCCCAAATTTTATTGCACTGATACGTTCGTTTTGAGATCGAGCCACGACATATTAATGCCTGGAATAAATGATTGACTGATCACCGGGAGATAGCAAGGAAGGATCACATCGACAGCATTAGAATACGGATTTTCACGCGTGCACTCGATTGCATGCGAACTGATTTATTAATGCATAATTTATCACGTGATCCCATCACAGTGATTCGGATACTATTCAAAATGAAAACATCATCGAAAGTCCATAACAGAGACGGAAATGCCGATTTGACGACTTACTCGCTTTACATCGTTTGATTCATCTCCCGTACCACTTGTGCAAGTTTGCTGTAAGTACGAGAGCAATGCTAAATTCGTGGAAGAAGCGATACAGGTGGTACGGATGCTGCAGAAAAACAAGAAACTCACCACTTACATTTTATAAGATCTTTGTATTATACTGATTTTGAGCAAACCCATGATGCTTTAACCTTGTATCCGGGAAAGGTAAGTGATATGCAAAACATTCGACACGAACGGGAGTCAAACCTGCATTCCACCTATATCAAGGACCGATGTTAAAACTGACCCACTGCATGCGTGAAACGCTGGTTCAATCCTCACTGAGTTCGAGTGCATTGTTTATCATTAAGAATTGTAGTATTTGAGGGACGAAAATCAGCTAAACGAACACAAACATCACCAGTAGCGATCTCTGTAGCATCCTGTAGCGTGTGCTATAGTGGCGATTTCTGTTTCTGTCATCATCCCAACGTCGAACACAGAAGTGATAGAGTTTTACTGGTCCCAGCTGAAAACTCTGAGGCAGCCTAAAATCTTTTGAATATTTTAATTTTTCTCAGGGTCGAGATAATGAATATGGGGATAAGGTAACGCAGTGGTTTAGTGATATGGTGTGTTTGGAATGAATGCGATAGGCAAGGTGGATGTACGACATTGACACTGACCTCCATTGACAGTTTACTGGGATGAAAGTTTCCTATATAGTCACAACACAGATACAAGACCTCTAAGAAAACAGTTTCTTGCATAATCACAACTAAAATTCAGACTTTCTTTATTAACGAGGAGGCACGAGGCTGTTTATACAATATTCACTCATACTCGGTTATATTTCCGCGGTATCGTGCTAATTTTTACACGTATTCCGTTCCACTTAGTCGAACACTATTTAAACCTCAGCAGAAAAAATTTGGTGTTTATTTCAGCCACAGGGAACACGACCTCTTTGGTTCTCCACGGGTTCATCTCGATAAGTCTTTAAGATATTAAGGAATACACTTATCTCAAGTACTCACTCGGAATTAATAGTATTTCAATGCATTTCGCATTGTTATGATGTTTTCTATATACCTAAGAGAATTGAGTGGTGAGCAAAAACACGGCCTCGGGCGGTAATTGAACCCGCCTTCAACATCTCAATGTTAGCTATCAGCCACCAACCTTTGACAGGTTTGGTCGGGTATGCGATTTCGCTTTATAAACCCAGTTGAGCTGACAGCTATTCCAATTACTTACTTGGAATTAATAGTATTTTGATGCAATTCGCATTGTTATGCTGTTTTTGTTTTTGCTCACCACTCAAATCTCTTTACGTGTCAGGGGATGAGTCGAGGTAATGCGTTATTATGTCACAAATTTTGGTTGACAGCTGGTTATTTATACCTTCCTATTAGATTAGTGTAAAAGCGCAATTTATACCCTGTTGAAATTTGCCGACTGGTATTGGATGAAATTATGAAGTAAGTGTGCTTAAGTCATATTTTTTATGGTAGCGTTTCTCTTTTTATGTTTTTGCTTCAATTTTATACCATAGAATGAATGTTGGCTAGTGTAAAGTAGCTGCGATTTCACACTGTGATTGTAATGGGTGATAAAGCAGCAGAAACAACTTGCTACATCAACATTGTATTTTACCGAAAAACTGCTAAGAACGTACGGTTCAGAGGTGGATCCAAATTGCCTCGTACAGCAGACGAGAGTCTTGAAGATTGAGAACTTAGTTACCTGTTACGGGAAGTTGACAATGATCAACTGGAAGCAATTATCAAAGCTGATCCTCTCGACACTAGACGGAATGTTGCAAGAAATTGAGTCGACCGTTCTATTTTCGTTCGATATTCAAAACAAATTAGGAAAGCGAAAAAGTTTGGCACAAAAGTAATGCCGGTTTATCTATAGTCAGCCGACAGCCACACGTGACACATCGCACACTTCAGAAGTTGAACTAATCGAGCTACAAAGTTTTCTCTCGTTGTTCATATTTAAAAGACTGCGCCTATCAACTACCCCTTCTTCTAATATTTCGACAACTTCTTCCACGGAAAACGCTTCGGCAGACAGTAGAATGTAAAAAATGCTTTTGAAGAGTTTGCCGAATTCCGAGTCACCGATTTTTATGCTACGGGGTCGGGGAAGCTTGTTTTCAATTTATGAGGTGTTTAGAAGTGAATAAAAGTAGTAAGAGTAAAAAATTGGTAAAAATGAAGTTTGACTACTGATAGTGTCTTTGTTCGGGTGTAATAGGTGCATAAATAAATGTTTCTCAAGCATTTGCTCAGAACTGTTTTCTCAAAATATTGTTCCCTTTGAAGATCAAGTCTGTGGTATGAAGTTGTCGAAAGTAAATTTATCGGCCAACGTTTGACGCGTTTTCGTCTACCTCTAATCCGAGATTCGAGTCGAACGCTCACAGTCGTTCGTCCTCGTTGTAGTCGTCGTCTTCGCTGTCGATGGGAGACTTATGACTAATATGTTTATTATTTATTTAAGTGACCCGTCATTACAGTCAAGTGTTCAGTTTTCATCATTTCTCCCATTCGGTTTTGCTTCTTGATCTCGATTTTGTAATGGATTATATTCATAAGTTTAATTCATGAGCAGATATCAAAATACAGCTTCAGTCAAGTGTGAACTCGATAGAATTCATGTTTTCAGATGCAGCTATTGTGAAGAATTTCATTCATGTAGTCAGATTCATCAGCAATTCAAACATAGTCTTAGCTGTTCATCCACTCTGAAGAGTTTTATGCGTTACAGAATATTATGCATAGGATGTCTGATTGGTTTTCCAATAACATTTTGCACCTCCATGAGGAAACATGATAAGAGCAGAGGAAGAATTACGATCTGGCAGCCTGCCGCTTT